CACAGGAAAATACTGCTCTGACAGTAGTATGAAAGATATTTCTCTTCTTGTTACTGTGGCATGGAGATCATCCCCCTTCTTATTGGTTCTGAGCATCCTTCCTGAGCTTGAGGTTGTGTGCTAAGCAGAGCGTGCTGAGAAACACATTATCCTGCAGTCCTGCATTTGTCCGATGCTATTAAACAGTGGGGAAAGACAATGGAGGAGCTGGTGAATCTGTCAAATCCTTCTTGTTATTAATGCTGTATAATTCATCAAACCATGACCTAGGAGTGGATTCTGCTGCTAGAGTTGGCCACTAACCGCCTCTGTTGCAGCTGCCCAGAGAATGATGGTCCTTGTTTCTGAAAACAGCCTCTGCCTTTGTGTTTGCCCTAGAGCCTTTCAATTAACACTCCTAAAAGGCTCAGTCTTGCGTTAGAGTCAAATGAAATGCTCAAGTCCTGTTCAGTGAGAAATGTTACCATTTCAGCATTGCGTTTTGGAACAGAAATGAATTAGCGAAAAATTGAAATGATCTGTGCAGCAAAAATCTCAGGAGGTCTCTATTAGGCAATATTAGGTTTTCATTTTTTTTACTAATGTTATTTATATAATGGACTTCATTGTTTTCTTTTATTCATTTTTTCTTTTACATTCCCACAGTTGAAATATTTTGATTTATTGTCAATTAAGAAAATTTGCTGATGTTCAGTACTAAATTATTTCATTATCTTCCCTCTAGCAATTATTTCTTGATAATGAAGTACTGCTTGATGGGAACTGCAGTTGTGGAGCTTGGCATATTCATTCTGATCCTCTCTCGATGCCTGATTTACATCTCCTGTAGCACATCAGGCAGTTTGGTCAGAATTCAATCTGAAATCTTACTGTCTGATGTAGTGTTAAAGGAGTCTACTCTGTAAGGTATAAAAGGCTCAGACTTTGTTCCCATGAAGCAGTATGCTACAGCAGGGAAATGAAAGGCCATGATGCAGTGCTGAGATTCAAAATGCAAAGTTGCTGCTCAACTCAGAACATTATGTCAAATATTTATAGCTTGAGTACTTCCTCTCAATTTCTTTGATATAAAATGAAAATGTAGACACAGAAGATTGAAAATATCTGCCTCTGTAAATGTACTTTCCCATGAAGAAATCGGGGTTGGGAATCCAGTCTGTTTAAAGTCTCCCTTTGTTCTAGACTCCATCCTACTTCCCATATTACCAAGTTTGCCCAATCCTGTAGGTAAATCTTCATGAAGTATCACCTGATTAGTCTCAGGAGCCTGAAGGTCCCTATCTTCATTCACCAACTCAGGCTTAGAAGAGATGGAACAGACTGGCACGGGCTGCCCAGAGAAGTTGCAGATGCCCTATTCCTGGAGGTGTTCAAGACCAGGCTGGATGGGGCCCTGATCTAATGCCTGCTATAGTGGATGCCAACTCTGCATGCAGCAATAGGACAAGATGATCTTTGAGGTCTTTGCAACCCAAGACATTGGGTTCTTTGATTCTATGATTTTGCGTTTCAGGAAGGCAGGTGCTTGTCTCCTTCCTAAGATCAGCTATAAGCTGAATTTAGCAATTCCAGACAAGTCCATTGGAGAAGCCAGGAAAACCAGGTGTCAGCCTAGGCTGTTGATGGTGACTTACGAAATAAAGAAGTGTTTGGAGCCCTTCCCTGAAAACGAAGAGACCTGCATGCAGAACAGCTTCAATGAAAAAAAGAGGGACCAGCTGCCAGGCTGTGGCTTGATAATGAGGGACCATTCTGCTAGAGCTGAGTGTGCAAAAGTCCTGGGGCCAAAAAGCCAAAACAAGAGGGAAGCTTCTCTAACCTAGGGTTATTCAGCTGTCATGAAGGGAACCTCCTCTTACAGCTTCCAGTGATGTGATGTATCTCATGTGTTTTAATGTGAAATGCAGGCATGTTCCATGGGGGAGGAGCTGCAGCTCCAATTGTGTGTATTCCCAGCTGGGCCAGACTACTGGAGTCACAGACTGAAAGGTACTGAGGCAGCTGTGGCATGGTGTGCCCTGCATTCCTGGCCAGCCTCAGCAAGAGCTGAGTTACCAGGATACCAGGCTCTGAATGCCTGGCATCTCACGGGGGCAGCGCCTGTCCCCTAAACCTTAACTGTCACCTCTCCAGGCTGACAGTGCTACCTGGCAGAGAAGCAAAAAGTCTGGAATTGTGAAATGTTCTTTTGTTTTTCGGTAGTGATTACCTCTAAGCAGTGTTGCTGCTTTGCTAAGTCAAAAAGAACTAATCCCCTTCTGTCATGGGGGGAAAAATGTCATGGCTGTGAGAACCACGGAGCTTATTTCCAAATAGATGCCTCAGCGTTTTGATATTTTCTGTGGGATTAACCAGCAATGCAGAAAGGCTAATGCATATGCAGAGCTTTCATTTGCTTCTGTGACAATTTGCCAGGAGGCACACTGAACTTTGTCATGGGGAATGGCCATTTCCCCTCCTTCCCTGTGAGGTTATGCAAAAAGCTTTGTTAGTAACATAGAAGCACTTTGCAGCTTACCATCAACTCTGGGTAGTTTTTCTTAGCTCCTTGCTTCTCATTTCTACTTTCCTTAAATTTCTGTTTCTTTTACCAAATCAGAAAGGGTGGCTTGCTGTTTTATAAGGAGAGAAGCTACATAATGAAAGGTGTGAAAGTGGCACCTGTACTGCAGTCAAAGCATCTTTGCTGACATAAAATAGACACTGAAGAGCCTCTCTGCTGATTTGCTACACTTTTTTCCTTTCAGCATTAGCTGCTTGTAGCTTAAAAGAAAACAAATAAATAAAAATACGGTTTTCTGTGCTATGTATGTAAACCTAACTTCTAATGATGGTTTTGAGCAGTGCTTTTGTGTCCTTCTGAGGCTGCCTCTGAGCATCTGGTGCTGATGGACACAGGCAGCAGTCGCTGCAGAATACTAACGCTGCTGCTGGCTCCTCCAATGGCTCCTCTGCTGAAAAATGCTTTAGACTATTCAGCATCCTTACACCATGCTGAGCAACAGGATGGCAGAGATGCCATGCTCAGGGATTTTTTTTTTTCCAATTCAGAGCAAGAAGACTGCAACAGCGATGGCTCTTTGTTTTGCATTGCTGTGCCCAGGCTCCTTTTGAAGCTGCAGTCATTTATATGCATAAATATCAAGCCTGTCGTTTGTTGCATGCTTTCATAGCATTTGTGTGACAAAGGAAATGAAGAGAGAAAAGAGCTGAACATCTTCTATTCCAGTCCTAGGAAATGAATGGCTGCATAGTTACGGTGATTATTTTCTTTCTGGTTTTATTAGGTCAGTGTCCTCCACAATTTGTTTTCCTTCCTGTCCTGCTGTCCCACGTAAAGGACCACAGGAGGACCTCCCCCTCCTTCCCCTTTGTCTTTCTCCCACACGGACATGGGATATCTTTCACAATACCTACTGGTAACAATTGTCACAGCAGAGCCTCTTGCCATGTACTGACACAGATTTATTTTGCCTCATTCTTACATTAACCATCTGACAAATTCACTCTGCATCACCGTTTAATGCAGAGATACAAGAATTCTGCTGTAATTGTATTTTTGATCATTCCCTTGGGTTTTCTCTGTTCGCCCTGGGCAAAATGCATGCTTGTTGTTTGCTCTGCATGCTGTGTATTTCTGCATCTTCTAGATTGATGCTATATTTACTGGTCATTTCTGGAAAGCTTTCTCTGTGCTTTAAAAGACAACTAAAATATGCTACTTGTATAGTGCAGGTTTTCCATTAAACCAGTTGCTAAAGTATCACAGGAATGTTGTTCTGATGCCAGGGGGGAGGAGGGAGAGCTTAGTAGAATTGCCAATAGGAGAGGAGGCAGCCTGTGAGACAATCCCTCCATTAAACGTGGTCTGCACAATGAAAAGCTTGGGAAGCCTTTCTAAGCCCTCACGCACTTAGGCTTTGTGCCCAGGCTTGAGGTCTCAGACATGTAGGTAGTTTCTGAATACCACAGAGAGGGAACCGTTTCAGCAAATTTATCCAGATTACCTGGATGATTTATTGAACTGTCTTGGATCATTGTTTTCATGTGTCTCTCTTGGCATGCGACTCCAGCAGAACAGAAGTGGTAATTCCACCCCTGCCCTCCATCCAGCCAATGCTGCTGAACTGTCAGAGAGGTCTTGGGGACAGCAGCACATGCAGCCCCTTTGAGCACTCTCACTGCTAAGTAGGGATTTCTTTTTTCTCTTGAGTAAGGGTAACTTTTTGTGCTTCCTGCTTTTACCACTCTTCCCTAATCTTATAAAAACCTCGAAGCAGTAGTATTGTAGTTATGATGGTCTAAAGATCTAAACGGTGCAGGATTTATAGGAAGGAGTAATATCTTTTCCTGAAGAAGGGCTTGTGTGCCTGAAGGCTTGTCTGTTTTGTTTTGTTTTTTTTTTTCCCAAATCTATCAGTTGGTCTAATAAAACATATTGCTTCTGCCTACGAATTTTGCCTTACTTATTAAAACCATTGCCTTCAGGACACAGAACACTTTTAAGTTGGTGGAAAACTCCAGTGTCAAGGTGATAGAGTGAAGTTCAGCAATGTAATTTCCATGTCCCAAGCCAAGTGGTACAACTTAGAACAAGTTGGGGTGAACATTATCCACCCTAGTTGTTCTGCACATCATTAGGGGTCCTTTCATCCCCGTGCTACATCAATATTTTGTCTTTCCTACATCTTAGCTATAAGAGGCAGCTCTTTTCTAACACTGAAATGCACTTTGGATAATGTGTTTTGTATGCTTCCTCAGTAGAAAGAGCAACTGCTATGGTATGCTTAATGAAACTTCTCTGTCTCCTGGTTATTTTCTCAACTGATACATATCTGCACATTAGTTTATTGTAAGTGAGCTTGAGGGAGGTGAGAAAAAAGCCCAGTGGGACTGAGTAGACTGCTTTTCTGTGAAGGATCAGCTCTGTGTTGACAACAATCAAGGAAATTAGTACATTTGACACCTTCAAGGGCTCTTTTTTCTTTTTATACTCACAGGTGAACTTTCTGTGGAAGACATACAGGACCCATTCCTTGTCAGTGTACATATTATCACAGACCCCGGTGAATCCAAGACTCTTCAGCAAGCTATCGATAAGCTTCTGGCCTGGATCCATCCAGAACTCCAGCTGTTTCGAGTCTCAGAAAGACGTGTGTCCAAGAAGCAAAGGAAGCCAGATAAAGCTGGTGTTTCCCAGCCAGCCCTCGCCGTCATTCTGTTTCTGCAAGAGGAATATGGAGAAGAACCCATTTTGCAACTCCACGAAACCTTTCAGCGACCGCCATGGCATTACCACCACACAGAGCGAGTGCATGGGAAGTTCCTCCCTTACATGCCATGCAGCCAGGACTTTTACACTTTGGCTCCAGAGACTCCTCTGTGGGCTATTCGTCCAGTGCATTATGGAAAAGAAATTATCCGCTTCACAATATACTGCAGAAATGAAAACTTTGTTGATATTTTGAAGTTTTATGAGTTAATACTGAAAAGACCAGTATGTCAGAAAAAAGCGGACTTTTGTGTTTTTCCTGTCTATTCTAACATGGAAATAGACATCCAGTTTTCTTTAAAAAAACTTCCAAAGGGCCACACGCCAATGCCAACTGAGTCAGCGGTGTTGGAGTTCAGAGTGAAAGATGTTGGACAGCTTGTTCCTCTCCTGCCCAACCCTTGCAGCCCAATCAGTGAAGGCAGGTGGCAGACTGAAGATCATGATGGAAATAGGATCCTTTTGCAGGTGAGCCCAGTACAGAGTGAAACAGAAGCACAGTGATTGGCTTTGTGCAGAAAACCTTAGCCTACTTCAGCAACAAGAAGTGGAGGCTCTCCTACTGCTCTGTGCTAGATGAAAGAGCCAGGACATTACTGCTAAAGAGCTCAAAAGCTCTTGCTGTGTGTATAAATACTCAGGAAGGCAGTTGTTGATACTATCCAGATATCAGTCAACCTCAGTTTATGCAAAGAATGATGTGAGATGAGGTAGCCGTTTTAAAGAATGAGGAGAGAGGGAATTATGAGTCCAAGTAGAGAAATGATGGCTGATGGGTAAAGTTTTATAAAAAGTATACACACAGAACTGATAGTTCTGTACAATACCTCTCAGCTGTGAGATTTTTGTGAGAGACAAGAAGAATTCCTGATGTTTTAAATTATTTTCTAGCATCAATTTGAAAAAAAAACCAAGGTGACAGCACCTGTATTTTGCCCAGTGATTATCAGGATGGGGAGAAAGGAGGTAAAGGAAAAGAAATGCAACCTGGAAAGCAGCCTGGGATACAGATTCACACAGATTCTCCTATCAGAATAATCTCAGGTGCTCATAATCAAGTCCTAGAAGATGATTTGTTCGTTAAGACATCTGTAGCCATGATTTCTGGGCAGCGTATCAGCATGCATCACATCTGAGGGAGTTAAGCAAGAAAACAGGAAGGAAGTTTTAAATAGCCACCTGCTCCACAAAGGGTTTGTGTGGCAATCCTGAGTGAGGTTCACCTGCACTCCTTGTCTGTAAGAGGTGAAGGCATTTGTTGCTGCTTAGCGTATGAAAGAGGGAGTATAGACCTTGGGAAGACAGTTGTTCAGTTTCTGAGGAAGAATGTTTTGGAGTGCATTTCATTTGTGAACTCAGCTTCCTCACCCTTCTGCCAAAATAAAGAAGGTTACTCATCACTCTGTAGGCGTATCTGTGTTTGGTTGAGATAGCCTGTTAACCTGAGCCACCACCACTGTACCTTTAGACAACAGCCACTTTCACTCCTTTTCCTTTTTTTTTTTTTTTTTGCCAAGTGTTTTCTAAGTGATATAACTGCTTTATGGGATCTTGCACTGATTTCAAGTAAATTCAGCAGAAGGCAAATAAATAAACAACAACAACAACAAAAAAAAACAAATGGAAAACACACTACAGGCCTTGTAAATAAGGCTTTTAATTTCAAAACAGTAAATTTTCAGAACTAATAGGCACCACACAATGTGGAGGCAAAGTGAGACTTACCAAACTGCAGACTAAGATAAGCCTTACAAAAAAATTAAAACAAGATTTTAATTATAGGCATCAAAAGAGAAGAATGAAAGCCTCCCAGTGCAAGATTTTCATTTCTGTTTTCAGTGAGGGTGATAATGTGAAGCTGAACTGCAAGTGGGAATTCAGTTAAAGAAATGGAAATCATCACATAGAACCGTAGAATCATCTGTGCTGGAAAAGGCTTTCTGGGAGTGGAATGAAGCAAAAGAAGTTCAATATGAGCAAAATAGGGGGAGAGCAGAGGCTGAAAAGTCCTGTAGTAAAGGTTCCGTTATACAGGTTTAACAATTTCATACTATCAGGAGAGAAATCAGGAAAATGTCCTGTTTGTACTCAGACATCTTGCAGCCGCCCCATGGAAAGGGGAATGTAGTCTCCAGTATGCACAGAGTTTGCATCCCCTAAGGCATGTGGACAGTGCTTGTGCCTGCACAGCTCCTGCACAAGGTGCTGCAGGTCTCACATGTGCTTGGCCTCCAGAAAGGCATCTTCAAAGAGGTGCACATGCAGGGAACAGCTCCCACTGTGTGCAGAGAAGAAATGCTAAGAAATAGAAACTGCTGGAGTAAGGTCATGGGAGTCAAGCCAAGGTCAATCTGTTGGGACTGTGCTCTGAAAATACGTCAGAAGGGGAACAGCAGGAATGGGAAAAGGTGGTTTCACCTAAATTACTCTTCTGGCACAGGAGCAAAAACCTGTCAAAAAGCAGATTTAAGTCAGCCACTGTATTGATGGCCACCTTCATAACAGCCACCCAGCAAGTGCAAACAGGTTAACATCTTAATTCAAGGCAGGGTGGTCATTTAAGGAAAAGGAATTATATGATGGGGCATGGGTTATAGGAGGCATTTGATTTGGAGGTCTGTGGACTTCTTTATACTCTTTGAATTCTTTCTAACTTAAAAGCAAATTATAGTCTACCTTTTAAAGTAAGATATAGGACTACCTTTCAACTTCTTGCAGAGTGGTGTTATTAACAGTACTATCAATACCACACCATTAGTAATAACTTTCACCTCTTCATAATTCTGCAAGTCCAAAGAATGACTGCACCACATTTTTCAGCCTGGACATAAGTTGGTGCTTAGTGATTAATGGAATGTTTTTATTTACTAGCTATTGGTATTTGTACTTTCCTACAGATTACAATAACTGTTATACTTAGAATTGTAGATATATGACCCTGTCAATAACAGGCAGTGATTAATGTTTGAAATTGGAGCATGATTCCATGATTAGATTAACAAGATGTTAATCTTGTTAATCTTGTTTTTCTTTGTGCACTCACAGGTACTCAGATACTTGCCAGCCAAAATAATTCATATTCTTCGAAACTGCATTTTGCAAATGGAATTATCAAAGGGCTTAAATAGAGTCAGTGCAGGAGAAAATAAGGTTATTTACGAGCAGGATAAGTCTGTTTAATATCATGGACTTTGTTCCTTCATTTGCTTGGAAGCCAATTAAAATTGTTTTGTCACAGTAACTTTTGCATGTTGGCAAGTTAGCTCCAGTGGTGTACCTGTGTACCAACCAGTGCTAAGGGATAAGCAAGAACTAAGAGCAACACTTGTGGGTAGGAAGACACCCACTCTGCTTCACCACTGCTAAGCCCAGAAGCAGGAGCTGTGGGAAAAATATGTAAATATTGTGGCTAAGATTATACCTGTTACTGGTACACAGAATATACTGCTAGTTTCATAGATCTTATCCAGATTCCTGGCTGCCTCTGGGCTTAACCCTCACAGGGGCATCTGAAGAGCTGATGAATGTGCATGCCTGACAATGCAGTGTGGGAAGCAGGAGAGGTTAATAAGTGATGTGCTGGCTTAGTCATGTGTGGCTGGCAAGCTAAGGCTAGTGAGCAGAAAGTGCACAGGTGATAGACTCTTCAAATTAGGAGAATGTCTTTAGATAAGGTAGAAAAATAAAGGAAAGAATCCCAGTCTCACTACGAATAGAATAGGATAGAAGCCTATCTCACTATGGCAGTAGAGTTCTTAGTACTAATGATTAGTTTTGGTGGGGACATAGCTGAGTCAGTCTATAACTTGGATGGGAGGTGATTTCTCAGGTTTTTTAAATCTCTGTCTTCTTCATTGATGCAGATATATTTCATGGCATAGTAAGATCTCTGATAACTCTTTACATCCAGCAGAATCTCTTGACAAGGTATCTATCAAGTGTTACAAGACACTCATTCTAGTTTTGTAAACATACAACATACTACTTTTCAAATATGATCAATTCAGATTTAAACTGCATTTGTGGATTTTGTCTTTTTATATTCTGTCCTGAATACATTTTACCTCACAAGTAAAACTTATTATGGTGATGATAAAGACTAACCTTTGCTATTTTTTCTCAAGCTGATTTTTTTAAAATATATTTTATTTCTGAATCAATCCCACTGGTTTAAATTCACTGATTAAACAAACACCATCATGCTCCTATTGAGTAATGCTGGGAAAACCTGTGTTTGCAATAGTGACATAATTGCAGTACAGCCCATTTGACTGGTTCTGATCTTTTTTCTTTATAAGCAGGTAACTTAAAGTAGGCTACAGGAGCACTTGTGGAATGCTTGTCCAGTATGGGCAGCCCATGTTAAGCTGAAAGTATTTCTCTGTGAGGTTCACCCCAAGTTTGTCGCATTCCTGGATTATGTTTCATGAAATTCTTCTACAACCTATTGTAATGCATAAAGACTCTAAATCCCTCCCTGCTTCACAAAGATTTGCGCAGAGATTATGAATGAGTAGCAGATTAGCATTAGATGAGAAAGCCTATTCTGTCAGAGAGCTGATCAATTCAATCTACAGCCAGTTTTGATGTGTGTGTTTTTGACAGGGTCTGGCACATCTCTCTCCCTGAATTTGGAGTTCCTATCAAAACCTACTTGCTTGGTGTGGTGGAAGCTGTGCACAGCTGTTTAGATCAGGTTTTGTTGTCTTAAGAGGCTGATCCTTCTTGCCAGCATCTCCACCAAGCTTGCTCCTGATGCCAGCAGTTGGGTCAGGCTGTGGCAAGACAGCAAGCAATGAAGAAATCAAACGGTGAGAAGGCTGAAGATAGGTAATTAAATAAAGGAAATAATTCAGAAAGTAATTCAGCCCATGGAACTAAAAGGTCGAGAGAAGAGCTGAGAAGCAGAGAGGAGGCTAAAGAGCAGCTGAATGGCCATGACGTAGAGTCATAGAATGGCTTGGGCTGAAAAGGATCTTAAAGATCACAAAATCATAGAATTCTTAGACTTGGAAGGTTCCTTTAAAGGCCATCTAGTCCCATTCCTCCGTGATGAACAGGGACTTGCAAAGCTAGATTGGGTTGCCCATGGCTTGATCCAGCCTCACTTGAAAGTCTCCTGGGATGGGGCACCAACCACAACTCTGGGAAACCTGTTCCAGTGCCTCACCACTCCCACTGTAAAAGACTTTTTCCCTATATCTAGCCTAGATCAACCGTCTTTAAGCTTAAAAGCGTTTCCCCTTGTTCTGTCACATCAGACCTGCTTAAGAGCCTGACCCCTTCTTTCCCATAGAATCATCTATTAAAGGGAAGACTTCCATAGTGCCCACACAGAATTTGTCCCTGTGAAAGTGTCAGATCTGTCTCCAAAAGCCTTGTGTTTCCACGTCAGTTTTGTCCGAGTGTTGCCATTGTTTATCCTTTCACAAACAAGTAGACTGCATTTGCTTGCATCCCTGGTTTCTTTAGATGCCTAGTCTTCCCTGTTACCAACTGGTCTGCTGAAACACAAAGACATTGCAAGGGAGCAAGCTGTGTCAGACAATCCAGTCTTCTCTCTGCAACATAGGAGAAGCATGAACTCCTGCTGATTCATCACGAGCTGTAACTGATTCCACGTGGCATATCTGATATCAGAGTTACTGCATAGAAAAAAGGAGTATCCTTGATTAGTGCAACCAGCAATATAATAAAGAGTGCTATCTTGTACAAGCCCATCAAAAGAATGGGGTGATCTGCTTTATAATTTCAGAGTGCCATGTGATCATTTCTGGGTTACCCAGAAGTGTCTTCAATTAAGAAACTGCTGGTACCTTCTTCATGGACACGAGTCTTTTATCTTGTTGAGAAATTTCTTAAGCAAATTAACTCATCAACTGTGTAAATAAACTGACGTTGCATAAAGACATCTAAAGTGACTTCCAGTCATATCTTGTTGACAGTTTAACTCATTTTATTTGATTCTTTGCACCCATGAATCCCTATTAGTTTATGAAACTGTGGTTAGTTTACTCATGAATATGTTTAATTCTTTATGGCGTTAAAGCAAACATCTTATTTTGTTAAACAGAAATAGGTTATGGATTAACACACTTCATTACAGATATACTGGAATATATATTTACATTCATCAACAATGCCTAATTGAATTCCTAAGGATTGGCTGTCCTGTAAATCACCTCCAGATAGGCAATCAGAAACAAGCAAAAAAATTTTATAGACATGAAAATTCTTTTTATCTTGTATTTTCCTCCTGTAAAATCACTGCAATGAGAAAGAGAAGATTGTTGTGACAGATCTAGGTCACTAAGATAATATGATGTGCACTAGCAAGATGTTTGAAGCAGCAGTGTATGGAGTTCTTTTAGAGAAAGGGGATAACAAAATGACCTCCGTGGCTGCCGGGCCTCATCCATTTCTGTCATGCCATATAATCTCTTTTGTAACATGATCAAGCTCCATCTTTACCATTACTTGCCCCAGAAGACTCTTCTGATGTGATTAGAAACCCTTTAGTAGTTTGTCATACATGTTTCTTAATGGATAATTCATCTTATCTTTCTTTTTTCTTTTTGCCTGCATCTTTTTCAGTTTGAATTTATTCTTATTCATATAGGGGTGATTTAAGACACGTGCAGCATTCTGGATGAGGCCTTACTAGTGTTGTATGCACTGCATTAATTCTTCTTTACCTAACTTGAAACTGCTCAGAGTGATGTTTCTCACAGCCTTGTCACTTTGATAGTGCATAGTGACCAAGATCCCTAATTCCTCCTCCTCTGTTATTTCTGACTGACAAGTCCCACAACTGAGACAGTGTTTATTTAAAGGGTTTTTTGCAGTTCGTCCCATTAATTCCTCTCTCTTTTTGGGACTGAAATCAAGCATTTTGTATTACATGAAAAATTCCAATAAAAAGAATCTCAACTGAACTTTTTAAAATGCAAACTTCTAAAAGCCTTGCTGAGATGAGTGGAATGATGACAAGAGTTTATAATTGCTGAGACACTAGGGGCTTAGTTTACTTATCAGTGTCTAATCCCGTATGAGAGTCACCTGGCCTCCAGCTACTCCTTGAGGACATTGGCTCTCCACATGTAACAACTGTTCAAGAATCCAGCAGGTAGGCAACTGAATTCCTCTGGAGGGATGAGATTTGGAACCAGATTCAGATCGTAACCATCAGCTCTCTTTGTCATAGGTGTCTACAAGCAAGTTAGATGTCTAAAGCTGTCCTTAAAATCCTTAGGAGCTATCTTACTGAGCAAGTGAATTCTGGAGTATTCCGCTCAGCGAACTGGATGAAAGAGATAATGTCCCTGTTGAAAGAAGTGGTATATTCCCATTGAGATGACAGAGAATTAAGTTACTTGCTAAAGGCTTTTTGATGTCTCAGAGGAAAAATAAAAACATTTGCACCACAGTAATAAAGAAATGAGGAATAATGGTAGTACCATACATCTCCCATTTCTTTATTTTTGTTCTTTAGCTGTCACTAGGGTATTAATGTTGGAAAGCAGAATATGAATGAATCTGAACAAGTCAATATTATGTGAGGATTTCAAGCTAGTGTAATTCAGCCTGCAAGGCAGGGATCCTCTTCCATTTATTCTTGTTTCCTTGAAGGCTCCTTATGTAAATATTTGGGATTTTGGCAGGGTGATTTCTCTTTGTTATTGAAGTGAAACATTTGCTGTGAGCATACTGAATGAAGTGTGCTTCGTAATTATTTGCAGTAACAACTCAGCATCGGAGACTTACAGTTGTAAGACTGCCAATTCTGTATTAATATGATCTTCTTTTCTCCTTCTCCTGCTGCAGCAAGCACGCAGTTGGTGTAGGAAGTCTGCAAAGCAGAACAAGCATCCATATCCATCTGTGTCAACAGATTCCCACTTCACCACTTTGCCAGGCTTTCATCCTCAGAGCCACCAATCTGTCCCTGAACCGCCAAAAGAAATGAGTCAGAACAAGGTGCATCATGCAAATGGCCTTGGCCATTATCTTGGTTTCTCCCAGCAGGACCTCAGACACAGTGATCAAGAAGACTTCACACGCAGATCCAGCAGTGCCTCCAGCATTTTGTGGTCATTTCAACGAAGCAAGTCTCTGTTCTGCTTGCCTACAGTGAGTTCCTCCTCAGCCTCAGAGAATGCTCATTTCAGAGAAGCGTTTCAGTTTTTAAATACTGAGTCACCTGCAACCAGGTTAAAAACATGGAGATGCAGCCCTAGGCTTAACGTTGATGACTTGGAGGATGCACAGGAGACTGATGTGGACACAGGGAGGAAGCTCTCCTTCTCAGATCTGTCTGTGGTCTCTGCATACTCTGCCCTTAACAGATTTTGCAATGACTTGGAAGCCTCTCTTCCGCCATGGAAGCAAGCCTGCAGAACGAGTGCAAAGGCTTCTACCAGCGGAAGGCCTGTATCCTCCGTGTGCAGTACCTTTGATCCCATGGATGGTTCGCTGCCATCTCTTTCTGAGTGGCCATCCAGCTCATTCATGGCAACATCTCTCTCTAAGCAGCCCAAACAGTCTTCAAGAACAGCCCCTTGTTCCCTTGATGATTGTGGTAGCATTTTCCCAGTTTCACCAACTAATGACGAAGAATTTTACATCTGAGGTTTCTCTGTCTCACACCTTCTGGGACAAATTTCTTTTTGTGATGACTGGGCCCTACTTGAGCTTACAGGATTTTTCTCATGGAAGAGAAGGTGATGCAGAGAAGTATGCTAGATGTTTGAAGAAAGCTCCTGGATCCCTCAAGAGATGAATGTTCCCAAAGAATGTACCGTAAAGCAGTCTGAGCTGGTGCCCAGTACCTCTGCATGGGGGGAGATGATCTGCACAAAGGCTTTTCCGTGCCAGTGCAGGGCAGAGGGTTCCTATGACTGACCCTTAGACTGTTGGTGAATAAAATTCCAGAAAAGATGTGTAATAATCCAATTCTCCTTGATACAAACTGAAGAGTAATTTGTGACACCAAACTGCTTTAAATTTTCAGAGAAATTCCCTTAACTCAGAAAGATGGGAGTACAAAGAGATCTTTTCTGCTTGCAAGTTCCAAAGGTAGCTATAAGGATGCAGGTCCCAGTAGCGTGTCTCCAATAGGCTCAGAGAAGCCTGTGAGGTTGCCCATCATTCTGTCTAATATCCGAGAGTTTACACTGCTGGGAAGAAAGAAGCTCCATTCCTTCCACAGGGAAGAGGAAGCTCCACTGGATATCTTTGCTTTGACTGTACAGAGAGTGCCAAACTGGAAATTTGATGTAACTTTTTCTACTCATCTGCACATGCAACCTGTTCTTTCCAGCTGGGACTGTAGTCTGAACTGCTTTATATAAGCCAGTGGTAATTCAAGTAAACAATATTTACTACCTCTAACTCAGACAATTCAGAGTTTACCTTTTTGGAATACAAAGAAAGAAAAATAACCCAGCATTTTTATACCTTGCACCACCAATCCAAAATATATAACAACTTCATTTTTTTAAGGGTTGTTATTTTTCTGTAAAAATAATTGATGCAAAGATGTATTCTCCATATTTCCAGAGCAAGCATATTTGTTCTTCTCATACAAGTCTGTCCAAAGGGAAAACAAGTCAAAATTTACTGGCTTTTAAATTGTGTTTTTAAAATACATATTCTTAGTAACCTGTTTTGCTACAATTAAATTGATATTCAAAAAAGAATAAATTGTAAGTAAAAAGCCATTAATATGGCAGCTAAGTGCAACTTTAAGCTCAAGGAGGGAAGGTTTAGATTGGGTATCGGGGAAGTCTTTTACAGAAAGAGTGGTGAGGTGCTGGAACAGGCTGCCCAGAGAGGTTGTGGATGCCCCATCTCTTGGAGGTGTTCAAGGCCAGGTTGGATGGGGCCCTGGGCAGCCTGGTCTGGTATAAAATGGGGAGGTTGGTTGCCCTGCATGTGGCAGGGGGGGTTGGAACTTGTTGATCCTTAGGGTCCCTTCCAACCAAAGCCATTCTGTGATTCATTCTAAGTCGGATTTATAGATTGGATCATGCAGATTCTGAAAACTTAATTTTGTGCCAGAGAGAAGTGACACTGACTGCAGCTTTGGTCCAGCCAGTAAGAAAATAGCTGTGTTAAAAGGTGGATGTTAGATGCTGCATGAGATCTATACACAGGTTAGATGAAGTTATATGAAGGCTTACCTTGATGGCACTGAATAAAAATGCATTTGTGAAGAAAAATGTTAATATTGCTAGGGAGTCTCACTGTGAAGAATTGCTGCTTTAAAGAAACAAACAAACAAATATAAATTATCATGCACATAATCTAAATAATAGTTGTGAAATTTGGAACAGATCTCCTGGCCCATTGTAATTATTTCAGTAAATGCAGTTTGTGCAAACAGTTCTGGAAGAAGGTCTGAGGGAAACGGAATACGTGTTTATAGTGGAAGGAGGGGAATTCCATTAAACTTGTACCTCAAATCCAAATGAGGCCTGGATATCACTCCTTAAGACTTTTTCTTTTTGCTGTTACTTTCTCCACATAGAGAAAGGCATCAGGCTTAAGTGCAATTCTCCTCTTTGTGAGATGCAGTCGTGGTGTGTACCAGAGGTAAGCTGGTCTTCTGTGCTAAATATGATGTATAAAGAGGAAATTCTGTTGAGGCTGTAAGAGCATAGGAGGTTATCAGCCTTATCCTGTCCTCACAGCTGTTTAGGTTTGCTGCAATTTTTGGTACACCATTCTCTTAAGGAAGGTCTGGGACCAGAAGTAGCACCAATGAAGGATTTGTCATGATATACGTGTGTTTCCCTGCTCTGCAGACAGAATATGTGTTAAACACTATGAGGTTTTCCAGTAGCTTGGAAATCACTCTGCAAGCAGCAATGCCCAAGACAGACAGGCTCCATAGATTTGAAATTATGATTTTCTGTCATATCAGTGATAGTACAAAGAAAAATGATGGACTAGAGATCTATATTTGTTGGACTGACACTTTATGAACACTGGCCACTTCTAGATAAGGCATAAAAATGGTTTGAATCTGTTAAAATCTTGGTATTTCTTATTTGGAAGGGGGGGAAAAGGAAAAGATCATTTCAAAATATTTTAATAACACAAATAGCATTTGATCTGGACATGAAATCAAAGTATTCGGAGAATTGATTTCAGCTGATGTATTTATTAGATCCTGGAATCAGATCAACATCCAAGCTCTTGAGAAAAGCTGATTGGGGTTACCTAATGAAGAGTGGGCTTTGAAATGTCTTTCAGCTTTGCAGGAAGATGTTCAGTGTATCTGGGGTCATCTCCTGACACCACAGGAAACACTGGTGCTGGAAGTCTACAAGCAGGAGTAGGAGAGCTCAAATGACAGCTGTGATGCTTATGTGTGCTATTAACCTGGAGCTCCTCAATCATCCGACCTTCAGATTTTATCCCATTAATCTTAACAGGAAGAAAGCCAAATGAACTTCCACAGACTGAATTTATGGTGTCTCCACTGATTCTGTCTCCAAGTATTTCTGTTCTGTTTACTGATACTTAACTAGAGATGAAAGCTTTCATTGTTTACATTCATGGTGCTTGAAATAACTGAGTGTTTTACTGTCAGGAAAAAAGCAGCAAAGATGATGTACATAAAACATTTTGTTTGTAATGGAGAAAGCCTGAAGTTGAAGAGTGTTTCACTGAAGCTAATATTCATTCTTTTTCCATTATTTAAGAAGACACTGATCTCATCAGAAAGCTAAATATGCACAGGTTTTATGGTATTTACCTATGTATCATTTTGTTTAAGTTAAATTATGAATAATGTCATTGATAACTGCAGGTTTTGCCTGGACTTTCTCTCCTTCTCACCTTAAAATGTGTTGTTTCTGTTAAATAAAATAGAGACAAAAAGTCATCTGTGCTTATCCTTCTGTATGCTCATTTATGAAGTATTGCAGACTCGCTGACTGTACTAACTAGGCTTCAACGTGAACGCAGTGACACAGGCTCCCCAGTGCCTGTCAGTGGGATAATTGCAACAAAAGCATAGCAAAAATATTTTTATGTTAGGCTCATCTTTGCCACTGCAGACCGGATCTTTTGTTTCTCATTGTATTATTATAAATCATTTGCTCCAGTAAGGATGAAAGGTGAAATAGGAACTGTGACAAACATTGCTATCTTGTGTGCTTAAACCCCATCTTGGTTTATTTCTACGTTGATCTTCATAAGTGTTTCCTTTTTATTGCCATCTATGTGGTGATATCCAGTATATATTCTTTTATTCCTCTTGTGAGATTTGTCTGCATGCCAACGTTACATTGTACATGCAAAGCTATGTAGGTTTGGCTTTGTTTAGTTTTCCTGGCTTTCTGGTTTGACCGTGTGGTATCAGCCTAGCATATATGACAGTTACAGAGCCACAGAAACATCAGGAGTGGGCAGGGGGCTCTGGGCCTTGTCTAATCCAAAGCATCTTCTCAAAGCTGTCGTCATAGAGTCATAGAATATACTGAGTTGAAAGAAGGCTCAAACCTTTAGGTTCCAAGTCAGATCAGGTTGGTCAGAACCTCATCCAGTCATGTTTGAAAACCTCCAAAGATGGCAATTTTGCAGCATCTCTAGGCAACCTGTGCCAGTGTTTAATCGCGCTCGTTGTGAAGAATGATTTCCTAATCCGCACTCAGAATATCCCATGCTCTCTGTAGCTGTTGTCAATCACTTTCTTGTTCATCTTGTGCCTGGAAATGAACTCTGAGGGAGATTTCATTATTATCTTCCAAGAGATTGATGTTAGATTGATCAGCCTGTAGTTCCTCAAATTCTCGTTGCCCTTCTTAAAAGTTAGGACGTTTCCTTTCTTCTAGCCGTCTGAGACTTCACCAATCACTAGTCTTTCAAAACTGTCAAAAAAGAGTGGTGTCACAATGATCCTTCAGCACTATCAGTAGTAGCCCATCCAGCCTTAAGGGCTTGTAAATGGCCAGCTCATTGAATATGTGCTGCAGTCATTCCCTAATGTGATTAGTACCTTTCTCCTTCAAGCTTTGCTACTAGCCACAGGTGCCTGGAAGACCTGACAGCAGATCTTGTGACTGAAGAGCTTGTGTGTGAGGACTGAGCATTATCCAGTTGACAGCTTTCTTTTCATTTACAGAAAACTGTAACAGCTCTAGTCCATTGTGAGCTAGTTTCCACTTGTTCAAAGGCTTTGTCCATCTTTTCTTCTTGGTTGAGTGAGTTGTAGGACATGCCCACAACAATATCTCTTGTTAGCTTCTCCTGACTTATGAGCTCTCAGCTGTCTTGTCCTCTGTTCCCTGGCAAATATGCATACATTTGTGTTGCTCAGCTGCCTATAGCACAGACTCCATCACTATCTGCCAGTTTTTCCTAAAGAACTTGTATCCAGCCAAGGCAGCTCCAGTTGTGCAACTGTCCCATCACGTATCTTATCATATTTTTACTTCTGAAAGCGCTGAGATTTTTTTTAGAAGTTTTTTCCAGGTTCATCAGCCTGAGAATTTGATACTGGCCATCCCATCTGCCCAGCAGCATGGAGCTATCCTGGTCTTTGTCTGTATCTGCTGGTCCAATCCTGTCTCACCAAAGAGTTTGGGAGGCAGAGAAAAATTGTGGATGTCTAAACAATGGAAAAAGAAATCAGAATACTGAAAACACCACATTGGTATCAGCAAGGAGATAAGATCTTGTGATTCTTTTCAGAAGCTTTTTAAGGCGCGCAGCTTCATGCCTAGGTTGTAAGTACTGCAGTGGGCAAGCCTGTACACCTGAGCTACCTTCATAAGAGCATACCAAAGGCTA